AACATGTACCGTAAATGTTCAAATAAAAGCCCGGGCATTTATTTCTTTCCAGGACAAAAAAATTGCGTAAAATAAAAAAAGAAAAAGTAAAACTGAGATTCGAACCCAGACCTCCAGGTTCATTGCACTCAGCTTAACAAATTAGGCCATTTGGGATACTCTAAAGGTTGTGGTATTTATATTGAGTAAAATATGCGTATCTATACTTGGAAATTCTTAGTACCAGGCGTTTATTCAAGCCCGGCCTTTATTTGAACATTTACGGTACAAGAAATACGTGAGCCATTGTCCACCTCGAAGAACAACTAACGCATTTTATTTGACTCCTTTGAAGAAACCTACAGGTTCAATTTGGTACTCTAACATTCCTATTGGCCACAATACTTTATCAAAGACCGTTCGTAGGCTTTGTAAATCAGCAGATATCGATTGTTTTAAAACCAATCATTCTTTAAGAGTGACAGTAGCCACAAGGTTGTTTCAATCAGGAACAGATGAACAATTGATTATGGATCACACTGGTCATCGCAGTATTGATGGCATTAGAGCCTACAAACGAATATCTCAAGATCAAGAAAAAGAAGTTTCATCAGTATTAAACAAAGAATATGAACGAAAGGTTGCACTAGATGAAGATAAGGAAAACAGTTACGAACCACCATCAAGCAAAAAAAGGTCAACTGCAGATACTGTTACATTTACCCTCTCTAACTGCTCAAAATATATTACTATAAACTATTAAAACAATACCAAATAACACAAAACTATAATTTAAAATACACATGTAATCAATTAATAGTATTATTTAATTTACTGGGAAATTATTTATTGAACCTCCCGGGAATTTACTTATTGAACCTCCCGGGCTACTTATTCAACCTCCTGGGAAATTATTTATTAACCTCCCGGAAAATTGGAGGTAAGTTAGTTATTTATGAACCTAAAACCAAGCAATCTGATTGGTCAATTTACAACTAGGCATGGTAGAATTTTACTTCTTCAGGCCCCCATGCCACACCATTTGTGTAAAATCTAGCTATTGTAATGAGTTTGACAAATTGACATGCATTGATGGAATAAGTGTGGGCCACACAGGTCAGCTTTTATATTAATTTTATCAACAAATACATACAATGCGAGTTGCTAGCTCTCACTACACACAATAAACTATGGGAGCCAGCGAGAGGATTAAGGCAATAGTTTTCTGACCTTTTTATCACAGAAACCAGGTCTGGAAGTGAACCATACGAGTGGAGAAGATTCAGAAGAATAGTCAATTGATCGAGAGCAATCCCTGTTTGTTCACCTGTGGTGCTAACGAGCAAAGCCGAGGGGGAAATTTAGGAGAGATCCCCCGGAAACGTGTTGTATAATTATTAATGGTTAAAATAATTGCACTCTAATAATTAAGTGCATTAATGAGTAAAGTTTTGTAAGTCATAATTAGCCAGGTTAGCACCTTCAGACCAAACAGCATACGAACTGTTGTCTATTTCTATCTGTCTGATAACAGACAATGTCCCTCTCCACCTATATCAGCACCACACTCTGGACACTTTGTAACTTGAGTAGCTCCACCACATTCGCCGATAGCATAAAAATGACCGTTGGGGCACTTGTACCATGCACCTTCCTCATAATTATTGCTAAGTCCTGCATTGTGAAAATTTCCCACATGTTCCCCACAGCTATGAGTTATAATGACTGCAATCCAGTGTTGAAGAGTGCATAAACTAGTATTACAAGTCCATCTGAAGCCTAATAGAGTCAATATGAAGTGACAACGAAAATGAAGATATATGTACCTCTTATTATTGTAGTGTGATAAGCTATTAAATTGATATCATCCAGATCATAGCTATGATCATAACATAGCTTTTTATTTATATTACTGACACCAGCACATTCTGTACTATAACCATAAGAATCTGATAGTCTTCATATTGGTGATACATTATCATTACTTGAATTTACTTCTAGTAATAGTACTGTAACATATGATGAAGTGTCCTATTTGTCGGAGACAATACATAAAATAAAAATTTTGACCAATATTATTACCCAGCAAGGTTATTGTAGTAGCAGAAATAACTGCAGGGACAACATTAATATCTGAACCAGGATCATATTAAGACAATTACGATGATTTAAATTATTTTTATTGATTTAACCAATGGTCACTGATACTCCCGGTAAGAATGATGAGGTAATAAAAATCTTTAAAGACATGTCGGAGTGTCTTTTTCTGTTCGAGAAAATCACCCTATTTACAATTATTACACATGTGATAGCAACACTTGGAATAGAGCTAATATACTATACAAGAGACTATCTAACCTTTGAATGATTTTTCAATGATTTTGTAATTTTATAATATTCAATAACAGGTTCTCCAGCATTCAAAATTATGTGCCCCACTGTATTTCCTATCTATTGAAGTTTATTACAATAAGAATAAAGTTTTATAATTATGTGTCGTGGGTAATGAAAACCAAGCTAAACTATATAGTACATGACATACATATTCTGACCTTACGTGAACAAGCCACTGAGAAACATACAACTGCCATAAAAAGAGAGCAATAAAAAAGAGAAATAGATAATAGCTGCTAGCTCCTGTTTCATGATTATAGTTATAATAAATAATTATAAAATCTAATCATTAGTAATACATAAATACAGCTATTGGGACAGACCTTGCAAACCATGTATCACAAACACAACCTATTTGAATTTAATAAACTATGCAAAATAAAGTTGTGTGGTCATATTATTATACAAAATAGTACAACTGCCAATTGGCAAGGTCTATGCAAAGAGTGTAGTTGTGTGTCTATTGTTTATAAGTATAAGGTCAGATTAGACTATTGCTCCTATAATTGTTTACACAAACTGTAATATGCAATAGAATAGAAATGAGAAATTGTTTCACTGTGGCTTCTACAATTTGATTACTTTACAATTTACATACAAAATGTTACGCACATTGTGTAGCTTAAAGTAAATGTATCTGTTACTGTCTATAGATGTATAATAATCACCCCTTTAACATTTCACTGTGAGCTTTGGAGCATCAGAACTGTATTTTAGTCAAAAACTGAAATAGCCCTTTATGCATTAATTGCATAACATAATGTCCACTATTTTGGTATTATAAATTGGAGTTAGCTAAAGGCATGGTAAATAAAATAAAGAAATTTTTGGCAAAAACAAATTATAATTTTCTTATTTTGGTGTTAACACCATACAGGTATCATGTTTAATGTAACGTCATTATAGGAGGTAGAATTCATATTTGAGAGATGGGTGAAGAGGTAAATAAGGAAAGTATGGCAGAATTATACTGTTTGGTTTACTCATTCATTTTATAAAATTAGCTAGTCAAATAAGCCAAACAAGCCAAATAGCTTGAAGCATTATGGAAACAGAGTAAATAATTAAAAATATTCATCAATAATAAACAGCACAAGCTAATCACAATTATATTTTTCACTAATAATAAAGTAACAGCACAATTAACATAAACAGCACAATTATAATTAGATATAATATAAGCTTCATTAATAGTAAATTTTATTTATTACTATCTAAGTTACTTTGAGCTACGGCATTCAGTACATTCTGAATTCCTTTGATAAATAGCAGGAACAAAGTAAATGTGACCAGCACGCCTACATTTATACCATTCTCCTTTAGTTATTTTTGGTACAGATACTGGAACTACTTCATAAACACCGTTGCGATGAATTGCTGGTAAATACTCTTCATACTTCTCATAAGTTAGCCTCAAATTGTGATCTTCGTCCATTTGCTGCAGTAGACTATGAAGTGGTTGTTTGATATTAGATGGTGAATAAATTCTTTTTGCCAGAGCAAGAAGGCTAAAACGAAAAAACTCACTTTCAATATCATAAATGATTTGAGTTGATATTCTTGCTCCTTTTGAGTCTAAAGTTTTAACTATTGACGAAATAAAACCAGCAAGTGTTTCTTTGTCACATTCAGGAAAGCGACTGACATTTATCAAAAGCTGCATGGCATTAGCAATTAAATTAATGACACATCGTGTTTCTGAGTCGTCCCTTTTAATATTCTTGAATAGTTGCCTTGCAACTTCACGGTCCATTTTTGATTCATCTGTGTCATCAATTGTTTCATCAGTAAATAGTTGCTGTTTGATTTGGCTTATATCTTCAGCTCTTTCCCTGCTCAACTTCCAGTAATGGGGTATGAAAAAAGGTTTTGAGCAGGCAGGACAAGTCAAAGGGCATATTAATGAACTATCCTTTGATGCAAATCGTTGATCCAAATATCTCACAGTGTAAATATGACCACAATCAAGTTGCACACATGGCTCATCTCCTTTTGATTTCTTTCCTATTCTCCTGACATCTTGAAGGTATTTACTTTTATTGCAAATAAAACAACATTGTTTAAGACACCGATCACCACAAACACCAGAACAGGGATGATGACATTTTTGTAATGGTTTTGGGCAAGCTCGATCACATGCCGGTTTATCACATACTTGACTACAAATCTGTGTGCATTGCTGATGTGAACACTCAACAATGCATTTTTCTTGACACTTTTGAGCTGTGCAAGGTTTAAAGCATTCATGCTTGCAAGGGTCTTTACTATGTGGACAAACAGAGAGTAAACAAGGCTTCTGACACATATCTGTAAGGCCATAACAAGGTAATGACGCAAAGTGCCCACAAAATCTGTTCACTTGTAAATCATATGCACATGGAGCATGTATTCGTCTAGTGTAACATTCCCCACACTTTCCAGAACAATAGTGGCCACAGCTGAGCTTCTTTGAGCAATTTTTAGTACAGGAGCAAACTTCTTGTGGGTCTCCACATTTGAATTTATGTGCATGCCCACATTTACAATTTTTAACATAACTTTCATTACATACTTCAGAGCATTCCTCGTGACACTTATTAGAGCACCGGTGACCACAAGGCAGATTCTTAAGGCATGGTTCTTCACAAATAATGGTGTTCTGTAAATGACATGTAACCTTTTCAATTTTATGACCGTTGGGGCAACAGTATGTGACTTTGACTGTACATTTAGTAGTACAAGGAGAACTGCATTTTTCTTGACATGGATGACCACACTGTAATGTTTTAGTACATGGCTCATTGCATGTATAGTTCTTGCTCTTAAATAAATTAATTCTTGTTTGTAGATGGTCTTTGCAGCTAACAGTAGTTACATGATTACACGGTAAGGCCAGCTCTTTTGGTTCATTACATTCATAAAGTAAACAAAGCTCACCACACTGCCCTTGGCACAGATGTCCACAAGCTTTCTTCTTTTCACAAGGTTTAGTACATTTAGCACTTTTAGGGTCTTGGTAGCATGGAATGACGTTACTGTGTAAGCAAGAGGAAAAGAATTTTGTGACTGGCTCTCGGCATAAGATATCACATTCTTCATAGCACATTTTTTGGCAGACATGTTTACACTTGAAGACCTTTTGACACATTTCATGACACTCTGCATTTAAAACTTTTTCATAGCAAAGCATGGTTTTTTCATGACCACATTTTGGTAGTTTTCTTAAAACAGGTACTTCACAGTTTCCACAGTCTTCATAACATTTTTTGCAGCAAATATGTCCATTGGGGCATTTTTTAGAGCAAGGCTGGAAACACCATGCCAAATAAGGGTCACTATGACATGGTAAATCTTGTTCATGACCACAGTTAGGCATTACACTTTTAACAAGGACAGTGCAAGGTTTACATCCTTCCCAACATTTAAGCAGGCAATCATGTATGCCATTCTCACACTTGTTTGGACATTTACTCAAGCATTTAAGATTTTGTAGGTCTTCACAGCATTTCACTTCTTGAGTATGTCCAAATGGACAACTGGGTACTGTCTTGATCACAGTAACTTTGCATGGAGGACAGTCTTTGTAGCATTTACTTTTGCAGGGATGCTCTCCATTTGCACATAGCCTTTCACATGGTTCATTACATTTATAATCTTCATGGTCAAGATCAGTCAAATGACATGACCGCTTGCATTGATGGCCACAGTCAAGACGATATGTACAAGGCATGTCACAACCACCTTCTGGAAAAAATTTAATGAAATCATCTGGTTTCTCAATGGCTGCTTTAAATGAAGGATGATTGTGGCAATGAAGAGAAAATGCAGAGCCAAGACAACCTTCCCCTTCAACATATTGTAAGATACAATCCCAAATTGGAACAACTTCCCGAAGCATGTCAAAATTTCCAAAACAATAAAAGCCCATTCTTGCTCGGGATAAAGCAACACAGACACGATTTTCTTCTTTCAAGAAGCCAACAGTCTTCATTCTATTGCTTCGCACGAGTGACAATATAATTATGTCATTTTCTTCTCCTTGAAAATTGTCAACGTTGACCACTTGAACCCCTTCAAACTCTTTCTTGGGCATTCTATCTCGAACACACAGCAGCTGACCAGTGTAAGCAGTAAGTATGGTGATACTTGAAGGACCATATCCTTGTTTAAGAAAATGTCGGCATAAAGATACGACAAAATCAGCTTCTACAACATTTGAATGGCTTAACAAATGCTCAACTTCTCTTTCTGGGTAACTGTGGTTGAAAAAAAACATATTTTTGTCAAAGCTTCTAATGCTGTCATATGACTTAACCGTTTCATGGTCAATCAACTCATCATATATAGAAGGATGTACTAATTTGGATATCTGTGGTCTCATTCTATGTTGAATAAGAAGAGTAGCGTGAGGAAGATTGTTGAGCAGCAACCTTTCAAAAAGTGAAATCTCAAACTTGAGCCTTTTCGCTAAGTCATACTCATTTGGTTTAGGACGCAGTTGCTTGTGGTCTCCAATCAATATGAGATGCTGTGTACCAGCATTAAGAGCTGATACAATATGAGACTCTAATACTTCAGCAGCTTCTTCAACTATTACTATCTTAGGCTTGACAAGGTGTAGAATATGTTGATATTTTGCTGCTCCAGTTGTTGTCATACCAATGACGTCAGCTTTTTCCAAAGCAATACGATCTAGTTGTTGCTGTGCTGCTTTGAAATTTTGACATTCCTCTTCATATTGTGCTAGCAACACTTCATTTTTATTGAAAAGTTGCATTTTATTTTTTTGAATCCAAAATTTGAAAAGCCTGTATCTGTTTATTTTGCTAAGGCATGTAACATCTCTAATATCTTTCTCCTCTTCTGGCTCCATTGGCTCAACATTGCTAGATCTAATATGACTCAAAATTGAATTAATTTCTGCCTTAGTTTTTCTCAAAAACGATTGATCTTCTGACTCCAAATCTTTTTGATTCTGTTCACCAAGGGCAACACCACTAACTTCCCCTTCTTCAGCATTCTCTTTTAATTTAAGAGGAGTGTAAGCATCGTCATCCAATCGTCTATTAGACTCTTCAATCTCAGCTTCTCCTGTTACATCAATTTTTTCTATAGCATCGTCATTGTCATCATCATCATCATCATCCTCTTCTTTGCTTTGATGGTCTGATTTGGTCTCATTATCAGAGCTATTGTTGCCATGCTGCTGCTCATCTTCATTATGCTCTAGTGCATCATGCATGTGTACACCTGGAGTGACAAAGCTTGAATGATCCCAAAATCCTAACCATACCTCCAAAGCTAAATTTTCATCATTTAGCTTTTCCCGACCAAGCATTACTAACTGGTAATAATGGCGTCCATATATGACAGGTCTTAGTAAAAACATGCCATTACTAATAATGAATTCATTGATAGGGTTCTGGATTACTCTCTGAAGGGTGTTCCATTTTATCTTTGATGCAGTATTTATAACATCATCTTTCTGTTCGTAAATTTTTCGTATCATATAATATGGCACTGCTCTTTTACGAGCATTAAAAAGACTACACTTCTTGATATCCTCACTTTTGCTCCTACCACCAACCCTTACAATGTTAGGGGTTTTTAGTTTGCCATCCATGCTTATTCTGTGATGAATGATGCCTTCCAAAAACTGGTCAAGAGCATGATTAGTGTAGCACATGACTAAAATTGGTGATGACATATGCGGATCCCACACCAATCGATTTTGAAGCAACGTTTGAACAATTTTATATCCAATGTACGTCTTCCCAGTGCCAGGTGGGCCTTGAATGACTGAGATCTCTTGTGTGAGAGCCATTCTGATTGCATTGATTTGTGATGCATCCAATTCTAATTCATCTTCAGAAGGCCAAGAACTCTCATCTGTAATATTGATTGTGTGTTTAGAGAGTTCTGACAAATCAAAATCAGCATCACGGCCAGTAACCACCTTTTTCTTTAACTGATTTGTGGGGTAAAGCCAGGATATATTATACTGTGTATCACACTGTAAATAAGATGGATGGTTAACTGGAACTGGTTTATTTTCAATAAGGTAGCGCTTAAATGGCATTGTGGTGGTTTCTGCAGTCTGTAGACTATGCAAAATGTGACGGCTAGCTTCAAAATATGCTCTAGACTCAATTACAGTGAAATGAGTCTTCTGAATATGCTGAAACAATTCCATATTATTCTCAAAATGAACGTGGAAGATTCCTTTCGGTAGTTCTTCTGGTTTTCTATCTGAAACAGTTGAAAAATATATTTCTCCTTGAAATCGATCATTCTTTGGTGAAAAACAAAGTAATGAGCCAAAAATGAGACGCTTTGAATTCACCAAATTTTTTCGCTGACGTAGTTGACTAACATCAAAATGTGCCTTGAAGCAGAGCCCACTTTCTGTAAATTCTGGCTCAGTAAGACGTACATCATTATATACATAAATGTCAGTGAGACGTCCCGTTTGCTTTGGAGAGCAATACTGCAGAATTCCCCTTCTTAATGGAGCCAAGAAATCTTCACGTAAAAGACGAAACTGTATATCATAGTAATGCTCCCAATCAGTGTACGCTCCATTGATAATATTGGATCTCAGTCGTGGCGGACTAGTAGAGCATATCTCATCTATTGTAGGTAAAATTGGCATAGTACGATAAAGACTGTTGTCCCATTCTTCATTGATACAGATGTTTGGTGGTTTCTTTTTTTCCATACGATGTTCCTTAGCTTCATTGCATTGCTTTTTAAGCTCTGTTACCATATGCAGCTCATTAGTATCAATAGATATGCTGGCTATAGATTCAGAAAGGTCGTCAATTGGTAAAGCATACAATGCTGATGAAGGCATGATAGCTACTAACTTTTGAAACAGCAACAGAAGTTGAGATGTCATGGATTGATCAGCTTGGCAGACATAGCTCTTAAGAAGACACTGAAACTCAGAGCATCTACCACTTAAAAATTCAGCAATTATCATGGTTGCTTCTTCTGGAACTTCGTCTCTTGCTTCACAAATTTTAAATAGCAAATCAATAACTGTAGCAATATATAAATCTTTTGATTTTACATGTATTTTGCTGCAGCTTTGTAATGACTCTTGAAAGCCTTTCATGCCACAATAAATTTTATAAACAACTTCGCATGGAGGTAACTTAGCTAAATCTGTCAAATCTGTGAGTTCCATTCTATAAACCTGTGTTGATTGAGCCCTGCTTCTACTCCTATATCTCCCTCTACCACCTCTTCTTTTCTGTTTAGTTGCACCTTTCATGCCATCTATTGCATCCTCTTCTTTCTTGTCATTGTTATTGCCTATAATTTTTCCTGCTCTTCTTGTTTTTCCTCTAGTAGGTAATGGAACTGTTTCAATAGAATCACTGCTTGTTTTAAGACCTCCCCTATCTTTCCTTATTCGTCCCCTTCTCCCTCTTCCTCCTCTTCCTCTTCTAGAGCTACAACCACTGTATTCAGAGTCACAATGAATTTTATGGTCAAAAATGTCAACATGGTGGCTAACGGCATTAGATGCGCCTCTACTTCTCTTTTTTCTTTCTCTCCTTTTCTTTTTGGGTCCATCATTGCTTGTAACCTCTTGCTCATCACTGCTACTCATTATTAACCTAAATACATTAATAAAACATGAATGTACATGTATATCTCCTATTAAATAAAAACTGTTGGCCTCATTTATACAACTCGCTTCCCTAGATTTCACTGCACATTTATATTATATGCACGATCTAGTAGCTGTATATCTAATATCATTTGCTCTATCAACTTTGCTGAAACAGAAATGGTGTGAAATGTATAGCAAGCACAGTTTCATTTCTTTATTGTGTAAACATATAAAACATATCAATAAAACCCATTACAATAAAGAAATTAGCTGCAAATAGTGCGTGCTTAAACACAATTATTCGTGGTGGTTGTACAGCTGTTAGTCAACATCATCACAGTAAAAATGGCCTTCCATCATTTCAAACTTGCCATCAACATTCTATTTATAAATGTACATAGGCAGTGGTGTATTCCTATATTTTAATTTCCGCAGTTTCCAGTGCTTTCAGAAGTGGTAATTACGAAGTATTCACACTAAGAGAGCCATTGGGTTGAAATTACCTCAGTGAAGAAAAATGCAGAAATAAATGTGGTAAAATCACATCATTTTTTGTGCATTTTCCTGAGTTTCTGTTCAACAAAATACTTCTCTGTGTGTAATTATACATACATACAACTTTTATCTGGTATTATCGAAGAATTTTACAATGTAGGACTAGTTTTCAAGAGTGGTACAATTAATAGAGGTACAGTCAGAATGAGATCACCAAAATAGTGTAAAATAAATATTTATAACATAGTCGTAATAATCATCTGTCATCCTTCTCTCAATATTATGTCTTTTATAAATCTGGTGATGGTAGAAAAACTCTTTTCCATCTTTGTTTGAAAATGAGGCTCAGAAATTACCGCACTAAGCATTTGGGTCCAAGGTATACTTTATTGAAGACGTGAAAGAGTATTTCAATTAGTAATCTGCACTGCTCTTAATCTGACCTATTTACTATAAAATTACACGCCATAAAATTATCTACATGTATGTTGTGTAAATGAGGCCAACAATACAATGAATAATTAGAAGGTAATCCTATAAAAATAGCTAAAAAAGAATTCTCAATTTTCATTACATTTAATGCACATACATATTCGTATGAAACTATTTTTAGAAATCACCAGTTAACTAATGAGCAATAACAAGTAGTGATTTGACTCATGTATTTTAAGGAGCATAATTATGAGCCACACAGAGAAATACTGTGAACTTTAAGGCACTACACATGTACATGTTGTAATACAGTCAAACCTGTTCTTGTAGACACCAGGAATTTGTTCAGAATTTTAGCATAGTCCTCATGTGGGTTCTTGTCAAGTTGCTTAAAATTTTTACAAAGCTATACAGGGTACTTTCAAAAAAATTACTATAGGGGGAAAATTTTTCATTTGTAAAATAATGTTTTTGTGCTGTATGGAAGCTTTGAGCTAATTCAATAATTGCATTTTTAAGAGTTTGTAAACTTAAAGCTACTGAAAAATCATGCCAAGTTCCTGTACTATTATAATAGTACATATGGACTTTGGCCAAATTTTGCCAAAAATGACTAGGACAGGATTCGCTATCTTTTATTTTTTTATATGTTCTAATTTTGTGTAGAAAGTTTGAGCATTCCAATAATAATTGGATGTTTACAAATTTTTAAAGCTGCTACAAAATCGGGCAAATGTCACTATACTATAGTACAGGAAAATTAGTCAAATTATGCCAAAAATGAGTTGAAGAGAATTCTCTATTGTAAAATTTTAATGATACACATACATGTATGTAGTGTGGAAAGTTTCCAATTAAATTAGATTTTTAGAAAGTTTTAAAGGTTACTCAAATTTGCGTCAGAGACCCTGTACTATAGAGTCTTTGGCCAAATTTCACCAAAAACAATAGAAGAGAGCTCTCCAATTGTATACTCTTTCTGATACATGTACATATACGTGTTCTTAAGCTGTGTGGTAAATATGAGTTCATTTTGCATTTTTACAAATTTTTCTACTTACTCAAAAAATTATGCTATAGTACAGAGTCTTAATGACTACAATAAATTTCTCCATTTAAAAATAATATTTATTCCTGTTATTTATAGTTTATTTTGATCAAAATTGATTTTTTAATTAAAATTTTAAAGTTACTCCAAATGCGATGTACATGTATTATATTGCTTGTCAGTTCATGAAGCATACTGTTTAGTTCACTTAGCATATGCTTTGCGGGAAACTTTAATGGATAGCTTAACACCTCAAAAATCAGGAAAGTAGTATTGGGTCCAATACTACTAATACACATTTATTGTCACAATACAATAAATGCGTACTAATGAATCTATAAAATAAAAACATTTTCATAATCAGGACAGTATTATTGGGTCCCAAGGTGTCCAGAATAGACAGGTTTGACTGCATACCATTATAACAGGAGAAAATTTTGGTAAATTTAGTGTTTTGATATGCTGCCATTTAATCCATTATGTGCATGCCCAATGGCACACAACTACAGATTTGTTAATTAAAATACACCAATCACAAAATTAGCAATTGTACAAATTTTACGCCTCCAAATCCATTAGGTAAATGGTACGTTATAACTTAACTTACCCTGTGAATTACTATTCTTCTTCAGATTAAGAAATATAAAATCAATAAATTCAAAACCAGTAGAGAGATGTGCTGCTATTTGAGAATCTGATCATCTGAGACAATGAAACTAAAAGGTAGAAGGTTAATTTAAAAATAAATAATAATGACAAGATCTAGTCAGCCAGACCATTACATAGTTGTTTGGGTGGACGGCCATCCAAATGATGAATGGTCTGGTAGGCAATACTGTGAATCATATAAAAATTCCTGGTCCAGGCAATTCACTAGAAAATTTTTTGGCATAGAATAGTGTGATTCTAAAGCAAACAACACAATGAATAGTTTACATAATAATAGTGTTTATGAATACCAGTTTATATTGTGTCATGTTTATCATTATAGGAGCATTGGGAATAGTAAATACAGAGAACTGTTATGAGGGGAATTTTATAATAGTCATTAAAGTCATAGCTCTCAAACATTAAAGCATTTTTATTGGCACATTGTTGACTGTTTGCTATCCTGTTATTATTTTGCCTTAACAAAGACTATAGCCTTTGCAATTTTTGAGCAACTTCAAAAAATTCATAAAAAATCCAAATTTGATCGGAATTAGCTCTATGGTATAGTGCTTTAATTTTGTGGAGCTTAAATTTTGCAGATTAATAAAAATCAACTTTTCACAAAAATAACTTCTGCAGATTCGTAATACCCTCTAAGCACTTAACTTAATTTATGGGCTGCTAGAAGTGAATACTTGCGGTGTCCTATCATTATTTTTATGGTTTTGTATCACAACAAATGGCACAAAAATTAAACTAGACTCTATACGGGCAACATTTAACCCACCATCTACAAGTACCTCACCACATATAGTATATACTAGATTAAGGCGTGGACACTTTAAAGTTTAATTGAAATTTGAGCAATATATACAGGTTTCATAATCAAAAGAGCTCACAATACACTCATTCATTGATAAAACTAACATGAGAGCCAGACTGCCAGAGAGAGTAGGCTGTAGGCGATAACTTTATGATTCTTTATTACAGCCAAACCAGGTCTGGAAATGAACTATCCCCACCACACGTCAACAGTAATAGCAATCAGCTGTTGCTGGGCTTTTATTTGAAATTTTATTACAAGATGATGACACAGCAATTAGGGGAAATCCCCTAGTTGGCATGAGTCAGTATTAGTATGAAATACATAATTATTTTTGTCTAACTGAGTAGCATGTGTTAGTGACCAAACTATAAGCATTAAAATAATTTCTCTACAATAAAATCTAGTATTAATTCAGTTAAAACAAGTCCTGCAAGTCAAAATTAGCCAGGTTAGCACCTTCAGACCAAGCAGCATGAGAACTGTTGTCTATTTCTCCAGCATGAATATTGTCTGATAGCAGACGATGTCCCTCTCCACCTATAGCAGCACCACACTCTGGACACTTTCCAACTTGAGTAGCTCCACCACATTCGCCGATAGCATAAAAATGACCATTGGGACACTTGTACCATGCACCTTTCTGAATATCTGCCATAGCTTTTACTATTATTGCTAACTCTTCTTTTGTAACCCCACCAATGCTGTATTTATTCCCAAGGCTCCTCATCATTTTTTGTATCGCTGTACTTTGTTCGTCAGTGAGCATTGAATTTCCTCCTTGCCCACAGGTAAGTAACAACCTCGCTTGATCAATCATATCTTGTTGGTCAGTTTGCTCAAGCTTCCTTTGTTCTTTATTAATAACAGCTTGCAAAGAGCACAACTGACTCAAACAATGTAGCCTCATAACTTCACCTTTAGCACTCACACTCTGCTGAGGTGTAAGGTAATTGGTATTTAGAAAACTGACAAGTTGAGTGGTTTGAAATATTAATATTTCTTGCTCGATTTGAAGTCCGTTGGGGAAGAGTATTGAATTTGGGAGTGAATGAAGCAGCTTGTATATTCCAGCAATGTGTGGTAAAAAATCAACTTGATTCTTAACAGTGACTGCTTCATGAGGAAATATCAATGGTATGCCATGTCTTGTATTGGAACTAGCATTTTCAAGTCGTTTCGTGATAATACCGAAAATAATGCTTAACTCAGTACAAAATTTCACGTCATTTTGTATTTTAAGTACTTCACTTAGCAGATGAGATGCTTCAGTATTATTTCTTAACACTTGCTTCTTTACAGCTTCCATATCAGCTATTGTCTGCTTTATAATATTACCATAACGAAGGCTGCGGTGAATAGGCGTCTTGCATTTTGGACATTCTATATACTTGATTAAGTGACCTGTATCTGTTCTTTGAGCAGCACCATCCATCCAGTAGTCCATTGCTTTCACTTCAAATATATGTGAGCAGTCTTTTAATTCAATAAAATGAGCATCATCTTCATCTTCATCACCAAAGAATATATCTTTAACTTGGTCTTCATTACATATACGGCAGAGTTTAGGGCATTCTTCTCCACACAGGCCAATACAAGGATGCTTACACTTAAGAGGTTTTGTGCAGGGTCGATTACACCTGGGTCTGTTGCATGGCTCACCACATTTAGCAGTACAAGTGTAATGCTGGCATTTCCATTGACACGGTTCACGGCAGGGAATGCATGGCTCATAACAGAGTTTACGACATTGACTGTGATGACAGTAATTGTTGCATAATTGGCGACATGGTGGGCAGCTTGACGTACACGAAAAAGAGCAAAAGTGGCCACAGGCTAAGGTACGATCACATTTCTCGGCACAGGCTACATGAAGCCTACCTTGTGAACACTTCCCACATGTTCCCACACAGTCATGACCACAATCCAGTTTTTTCTTACATGGGACAGTGCATATAAACTCATTCTCACTAGTACTGCAAGGAATACTAACACTATGCCCACAAAGTAGCCTCTTGGATTTCTTAGTCTTGCATGTGCTTGAGGACCCACAAGGCTCTGAGCACTTCTTCCAACACTGATGGCCACAGTCGAGAATCCTGCTACACTCGTTATTACAACTGACCTCAGAGGGATCCTTGTGACACTTGACATTTACAAGATGACCACAATCTAACAACTTTTGTTCAATAGTTTGACATGGTAAACAGCCATCCAGACACTCAAAACACTTTCTAATACATCTGTGACCACAGGGTAGCCTCTTGGAGCAATTCTGCTGACATTTATAAATACTCTTGTGCTCCTGGTCTATTGGATGGCACGGACTACGACAGACATGGCCACAATCTAATCGAAATCCGCATTTTTGAAGACAGCCTCCCTCTGGACATTTTGAGAAGTCCTCAGCTTCTTTGGCAATGGTCACCTCTTTAGGATGGACCTGACAGCACAAAGGAAGACCATCCCCAACACGTCCCTCTCTATCCATTTGATTCAATATTGCTGGCCACTTTGTTGTGTCTTTGCTTCTCAGCATTGAGAGATTCCCAATCACAAAGAGGCCAGCTTTAGCACGTGAAAGAGCAACACAGACACGATTCTCGACTTTGAGGAAACCAATTCGTTCTTCATTGTTACTCCTCACAAGTGACAGAATTATGATTTCATTTTCTTCTCCTTGAAAATCATCAACAGCAGCTACTCTGACCCCGTCAAACTCATCTTTCCTCATATTTTGTCTTATTTCAAATAACTGGCCACGATACATGGTCAGTATGGTGACATCTGATCGCTGGTAACCTTGCTTCAACAAGTATCGGGTCAAAGCTACCACATACTTAGCTTCAAATGTATTAGCATGACTTCTGACATCACCAGTTGGGTTCTCATTCTCTGGTTGACGATGATCAATAAAGAATAAATTCTTTCCGATTCCTTTGACATTACCATAAGCATAAACTGATTCATGGTTGTCAAGGCGGTCATAAATGTGGTTGCCAACAATACTTGCTATCTCAGGCCTCATTCTGTGCTGCTCGGTGAGTGTGGCTACAGGAACATCATTGAAGATCAGTCGTTCGAAGAGGGAAATGTGAAACCCATAATTCTTCTCAAGCTCATAATGTGTGACTTTAGGCTGGAGCTGCTTATGATCACCAATCATTATAAGTTGCTGTACACTGGAGCAAAGAGATGTTACAATGTGAGACTCCATTACTTCAGCTGCCTCTTCTACTATGACAATTTTTGGATTTATGTATTTGAATATGTAGCTATGCTTAGCAGCACCAGTAGTGGTGACACCAACTACACTAGCACCCAATAGTGTAAGGGTATTCACTTCCTGGTCAATCTCCTGACATTCTCCAGCCAAACGATTGTATTGATCAGCAGTATGCTTTATGCTACCTTTAGATAGTCGAATGTACTTGTTCAGCCAATACTGGTACAGGCGCCACCTTTTGTTTACATCATGTATTTTCCATACATCGGTCACTCTACTTGCTCTATCAGCGTTAAAGGGACGATTTTTGAAACCATCTTTGATAAGGTTTTTCCTCTTTTTTGAATCTAACTGTTTAACTTGCCAGCCTCCTTCACCTGCTGTTACTTTAGCTTCACGTTGTTTGGGTTCCTCCTTTGTTTTAAGGAACGGCATTACATTAATTTCCTCTTCTCCTTCAATGATACGATCCTCTTCTAATAGCTGTGGCTCATCAAGTACATCTATAAAATTGCCTTCTTTCTCCTCCTCAATGCCTTCAATTACGAGGCCTCCCTTTATTTCATTTGAACTGTTGTCTTCTAACGGTAAACTATCAGCAATTGCTGCTTGAATGTCGTCATCTTCTTCAATTTGTGGTCCTGCCACAAACCATAGTCCCAGCCAGTAGTCAATGATCTTGTCAGGAGAAATGGCACTGGTTTCTATTGACTTCAATTGGTAATAATGATTCTCATCTATCACCATCCCCAACTCATCTAGTGTGAGTATCTTGCCTTCATTAGCATCAATAGCTTTAAGGGCAGTCTCGATAAAGTCTTGTTGAGTCTTCATTTTAGATCGATTATCTCTAATTCTTTTGTATAAATGACTTGGTACGGCATGCTCACTCTTTAGCTTTGAGACAAGTTTTGCCATTACACAATCCCCAACCTTTTCATTCTTGCAACGTCCACCCACTCGCACTACTTTTGGCTTCTCTTCCTGATGACCAACCTTTAGGTCTAAGACTCCCTCAAGGAACTGGTCCAGTGCATGGTTGGTATAACACACAACTAATATTGGGCTATTGTTGCATTTATCCCAAACAGTACGATTCTGAAGAAGAGCTTCAACTATCTTGAGACCAATGTACGTCTTACCAGTGCCAGGAGGACCTTGGATCACTGATATTTCTTGAGAGAGTGCCATCTGCAATGCAGCAAGCTGTGACCCATCAAAAACAGATGTGCAATTTGGTGGAAAAGGCTTGGTAATGTCAATACGTCGTAATGGGCCTTTTGGCTTAAAAACACTATTCAGATCAAGACTTGTGCCGGGTTTTAGATACGATGGAGGCTTTATGCTTTCTCCTTTGCAATACCCTCCCACAATATATGGCTTAAATGGCATCTGCTCAGGTCTGATTAACTGCAGACCAAGAAGAGCATGACGATACGCTTCAAAGTAAGCACTAGACTCAACCATTTGAAACTCGGTTGATGGATCAATTGTAAAGGGGTTAAAATCATCTCCTTCAAATTTAACGACCAACTGCCCACTCTGAAGCGCTGCTGCATCACGTTTTATTACACTAGCAAAACAAACAGAGCGGAAACTATCTTGAGAGAAACAAAGGAGTGAACCGTATATGAGACGACGTGAGTGCTCCCAACGAACTCGAGAAAAACGTGAGACATCAAACTGGATAAGAAAAGCTGTTCCAGTATAAACACAAACAGGCATGAGCACACGAACCTTGGAATACAGCTGGACCTTAGCTCCAGTAGTAATACCTATAATGAATAATAACAAATAATAGCATTACATGACACACAAGAGCACTATAATTACATTCATGCACTGTAGTTTCTCATCCACAGGTATTATATGCTAATAGATAATAATGTGAATTGGTAGTTTCACTAGAATTATTTATTACTGAGAGTACATGTATGAATTGTTGATGTGGCATGTGTAACAAGAAACAATGAATCTGATTGGAATGGCCAAGTGTAAAATAGTCCCTTGTCAATGTAAATTTTGAAATTATGAGAACATGTACATTGTAGCTTAGAATAAACAATCATCAACAATTAGAACTGAAAATTACATGAATGCTATTTACCTTGTAAATAATTGTGGATTCCTTCACGTAAAGGTCCCATGAAATCTTCACGAAGAAGACGGAACTGAACATCAAGGTAATGATCCCAGCTACGATATGATCCTTTCGTCAAATTTGGTCTAAGAAATGGTTTCTCTTGATTATTCTTTATTTCGTCTGGCTGAGGTAATATCTCAATCATACGAAAGTCATCTGGTGGTTCAAGATCATGAGGATTGATATCTGGTGCAGCTGCTCGATCTGATGATGCACGAACGGCTATTTCAGCTTTCCTTCGTTTAATAAATTCTGCCTTTTTGTCACAAAAAGTAACATCATATTCAGAAAAGATCTTTGAAAGAGCGGCATCACAGTCAGGCAGACTGCTCATAGCATCTCTGAGTTCTGACTGTGGGAATGCAAACACTGTGGATTGTGGTATATTGGTGATGCAGAATTTTCCCAATTCAATGACTGGGCGCAACTGATGACATTTCATTGATGTCTGTATGTACTCTTTTAGCTTCATCATAAAAGCAGCACAATTATCAAAAACTTCACTAATAAATCTAGCAGAGAGAGAGGAGTCCGCCCCCGAACACGAGAGGGCATGGAGAATACCGATGAGAAATTTTATGTTTCTCATGTCAAGGAACCTTTCATACTGAAATGCTTTAATGAAGGCGCGTTGTTCATTTTGAACTCTGTCTAGTACACCATGAGAACTAAGCTTGCTTAGCTCACGAATAGTATCAAATGTCCACCAGTTGTTCGAGCCGCTAGCGAATGATACGGACGCCGACCCTCTATCCCCTCTATCGTGGCCACGATGGCCTAGATCATCACTCTGTGAGTTATGGTGTCTTCCTCTCCCTCCTCTACCTCGGCCACGTCCTTGTCCTCTTCTGTTTTGTCCTCTACCTCTTCCATAGCCATTGTGGTCCATACTTTTGTTAACATTGACTTTCTGCGTGAACTACGTGGCTTCCCTTTTTTTAAATAGGGGAAACCCCTACCCCGCCATTCGTATATCATAGCGACAGGCTCCTCCTTTTTCTTGGTAACAGAAAAACATTAATGGCGGCTAGTAGCTCGGGAACAAATGTAGACGAGAAAAGGAAACTTTTAAATGAATGGCTCACTCACTTGGATGAAGCTAACAGTAAGAGACAATGGGGACAAGTAGTAGAAGCGGCTCAGCATTACACCAGGTGAATAATAGGGAGAAAGAATATGATAGGTGCCTCAGGGGCTGCTTAATCTATGTACTGTGCCTTTATTATGCATAGGATTGCTAGGCAAATGAGAGATTACACCTCACAGGAATCTTTTACTTTCAGTGACCATGAAAAGGTAGGATGGGTACTGTATGTATCTAGTATGCATAATGGGAGATTTTTAGAGGATTAAAAGTCTAGTCTCGTGTAATGAGAGTACACGAGACACCAGTACAGAGTACACCAGTATCCATGCCTCCAGGAGGCACAGAGGGTATGGTCTGGCTATGTGAGACTAGATACATTTACCAAAATAAAACCATTATGCACATGCTCAATAGCACCACAAGTTTATTGAATTTTAAACTGTAAATCACAGAATCAGATCATCCATAATTACCTGCGACACAATTTTTAATCAAAATAACTATGCAAGCAATTTGAGCTTTGCTATATCCAAATTCTATTTCAGTATCAATGTAATGTCAGATTTAACTTTAACCCATCAAACTGTCAGTCCCTTTTATGCTGTGTAATTGTATCCTTACTGTGTACTCTTGATGATAATTTTATGTGGCACTTACCAGTATTATTTTTACAATAATGCACTATAGCGTTATTTGCAACAAGCAAAACAAGATTTGCATGACCAGGCAGTCACACTTCGGGATTTTGCTGCAAGCAAGGATCATGATAGCAAGATAATAGACAACATCAAACAAGGTATGATTCATTTTATAGTAGATTAATGCTTTTAATTTTGTGTAGTTTTAATGAGTTTAAGTATTGAAACCGTTCCTAAAGGTACAGTAAGTTGCTGAACAACTGCTCTTGCTTACCACTTATTCTGCAATAGGACTTCCGACACTGGTTCCTTTGTCACGATTAAGCATTGTTGTTGAACGAATTGGACTAAAAAATGCAGCACAACACTCTCAACCTTTCATCAAGATATCTGTACTTTGTTAGTTCAATTGATCTATGTAATAATAAATTAAAATTAATATTTTTATAGCACAGGAAGGTACACCAATCGAGGATACATATGAGACGCCATATTCATCAAATTTTGAAAAAGATTACATTATTTTTAATTGCAATCCAATCAAATTAAAGACTCCAATGTCACAATTACCTACAGGTGACCAATAGTATTATGATAGTTTGATTAACTTCTTGTAGGATGTGCCATATTTTTTGAACTCTGTCATTATAAGCACAGCAAGAGAAAGACAAGCACCAAATGTTTTGCTTTTATGGAGCAAGATGAAGTGAAGCAAGGACCAATAGCACTTGAAATGTAAATACATGTACATGTATTCAAAAATTTATCATGAATCAATCTTTTTTTTACAGTTATAAAAAACCTACTGATGTTACTCGAAAGAAACTCAATCTTCTGACTAGGAAAGAGCTTTATCTTCATTTAACATTATCATTTTTTTACTAGTATTTATTTTTATTCTTGTATTATTATTATTATTATTATTATTATTATTATTATTAATCTAATTAATTCGCCACTCCATAAGAAGGTGGGGCTGGTCATATCTCAAGATGGAGTACACCCCTGGATATCCAGTTAACAAGAGATTGTCTGGAAAATACAATGGGTATGGTAATAGCAATCTCATTTCCATTAAAATATTTTCCTGCTTTTGCATATTTATAATTTAGCACCTTTGCTGCCGTTACTCTTAAAGAGAGACTGCCTAAAGTTTTAACTCAGATTATCGATTGTCTTCATAGCTACAATACTACTCTTGTAGAAAAGCATGGAAAGGTAAGGCAAGGTAGATGTATAATGTACAAACTTTTTGATGGTGAGGAGTCTGCTAAGCACTAAATCAAGTTCTATAGGAAATCACAAAAGTTTGGCTTAGTGCCCAGCATCCTAGCTGTCAGTATATATGCTTTAAAGCTGCTCAAAATGGCTAGGAAATATTTCTGAGTTTTATTTTCTGATGCACATGCATGCTCTTATGTTGTGTAAAAGTTTGAGAATAAAATTGGATTTTTACAAATTTTTGAAGTTGTTAAAAAATCTGTCCAAAGAAGCAAAAGACCCTGTACTAGTATAGGGTATTTTGCTTAGAAAGATTCCTCCATTTTTATTTCTTTTGATTCACAATTTACACATACTGTACATGTACATGTGCTTATGTGGTGTATCAAATTTGAGAATTGTTTATGAAACAAAGAATTGCTCAAAATTTTCACCAAAAGAGTGAAATCAAAATTATCAGGAGAGAATTCAAAGGAAGTTTGAACTGAAATTTGCTAATTTCAAGTTACTGTAAAACCCAAAGATGCTTTTTAGCCAGCTTTGTGGAAACTGGAAACCCTGAAAAGTGTGTGAAGATTATTGTATAATAATAATGATAATTGTGAATTGCTGAAAGTAATGAACAGACAATAGCAGTAAATATAAATTAAATAATGTAATAAGAAAATAGTGTAATTTTGAAATTAGCTACTATAATATTATTTTGTTTGTTAGGAAGGAACAGAAGCGCTTAAGGCATCTATAGCTATACTTTCTGAGCTGAAATATCGTATGCAGACTAATAAAGAAATGCAGCATATCAGTACTGGGCCTGATATCAAGGAGTGGAATGGTGTGTTTGAGGATTATAAAAGCAAATTAGGACACGAGCCACACTGGTTTGAGGTATCTTGGTTGTTCTTTGAATGTTACATGTATCGCAAAGTGATTGAGATCATACGCACTGAGTAAGTTATCCTTCAATAATCTCACGTGTTCTTGCTAATTAAATTTGCTATAATCTATATTAGGTCATTGTTGTCTCAATATGATCCTTTTAAAGACCAAAAGGAAGAATCGCTGACAAAATCAATGAGCCAAATGGAAAATGTAGCTATTCAATTGATGAAACAAGGCTCAAAAGTTGATCAAGAAATTTTTAACAAGTATTTAATGGTAAGGCATTGTAACATATCAATTTTTTCATTGTGTCTCTATGCACTAGCTATCACTCTGGGGAAATAAAGCTGATTTGTCAATGGCAGCCACAATGGATTCATATGAAATGACACATGAGCCTGAACAAGAGAGCTCTCTTCAAAAGTATATACTAGCAGATGATTCTGAGAGTGTGTGGATTCTACTGACCAACGAACGAGAAGAAAACAGAGAAATCGCAATAGTACTTGACAATTCAGGGTTTGAACTATTCTCTGATTTAATGTTTGCTGAATGGTTGCTTACCTCAGGCCTTGCTGATCACATATCCCTTTACTGTAAGACGTACCCTTGGTTTATATCCGATGCTACCAGGAGAGACATTGATTGGACATTGGAACAGTTTACCTCCTCGAGCATCAAAGTATTAGCTGATTTTGGTAACCAGTTGTCTAAGAGGCTAGCAGAAGGAAAGATGAGTATCAAGGAGCATCATTTCTGGACAACTTCATACGAGTACTCAGCTATGAAAACAGTGTCACCAGATTTGTACTCATCCCTCTCTACTGCCAAACTTGCAGTTTTTAAAGGAGACCTAAATTACCGTAAACTTGTTGCTGATCGTAATTGGGTCTATACTGAGAGGTTTGCCACTGCTCTCCAATCTTTCAGGCCTACAAACGTGTTAGCACTACGAACACTAAAAGCTGATCTTGTTGTAGGACTGCCGGAAGATGCTGCCTCTAGAGCTGCATCATGTGATCCTGATTGGATGATAAAAGGAATGTTTGGGGTCTTGCAACTGGCTGTAGCAATCTGAACATGTCAAAGAACTTGCAATTAATTTAATTTTATTTTTAGGCATTATGCTGCACAACTTTAGCAATGTATTATGCACCTAATATGGTATAACAATAATAATTATTATGTAACATCACATGATCACGATAAATTAGTCAATTATACATGCACATCATAATAATTTATTTAATTTTAACACTTCTAGCAAGGCTCAATCTTATTCCACCTTTCTCTCCTCCATAACGATACAGCTCCTTTTCCACTGGTCGCACAACATGCCTGTGTTTAGTGACAGCTTTCTCAAATTTCCTGCGATGTTTGACTCGAGGATTTCGTAATTCTTTTTTCTTTCTTGCATTGAGGCCCTTGTTGCTGGCAATCTGATATGTAATAGCTCTCTTCCCATTAGCTTCAATAACCTCAGGCTCTTTGCTAACTTGAGGTAAGTCACTTCCAAATGAAACCCTCTTCTCTTTTTTCGCTTTCTTTATTCTCTCATAAAACTCAATTGGGTCTTCAGGAGCTGGACGCTTTTGATTTTTAGGTACCAGATCATCTTTTTGCTTCAAGATGCCACTACGAGGAGGAGCCACAGAAACTGCCTCAGTATTTTTCAACTGGTCAATAGCAATCGAAGACTCAACTTGTTCTAGCATGTGTTGGAGCTCCATGATCCTAGACATGACAGGATGATCTACAACTGATGCTTGATTGGCTTGAAGTGTCAAATAAAAAACGATATTCAACTTATACAGATGATACAATTGATCAAGCATCGATATCAGTTTAGCTTTTGGCGATAGCTTATCAAACTTCTCTTTCTGGCTATTTTTGAAATATTTTAGCATTTCTCCAAAAGACTCCTCTTTTATACTTAAATCATTAGTTAGTTCTATGAATTCTGGCCAATTTTCCTCAATAAATGCTAACTGCTCATCATCTGACAGTTTCGTAAGATCCTTTGGCACAATAGTCGAAGTGTTAGTTTGATTAAGACTAAGCTGTGAAACGGCTGGTAAATCGCTAATGACAAAATCATCATCATGCAATGATTCTATCATGCGGCGTTGTAAAGACAGAGCTTCTCTTTGTTCCTCTTCTGCTACAGACTCATCTGAGCTAGCCTCTCCTTCATCATCAATGTAATCAGTGTTATAGAAAGTGTTTTTCTTACTACCCCAGGCTTTATCTGATGGCCCAAACTCCTCTTTCTCTCCATCACCATCTTCCTCCTCCTCTTCATTACTTGAGGATTCTTCTTGATCTGTCTCTAATGTCTCTAGCCCCAGTACCTCTTCATCGTCTGAGTCCTCTTTCTCTGAACAACTAGCGTAATCAGAGCCATTGTTTAGTGGGAGTATCTCCTTCCCCTCGAGGTATTGGTCTATCTCGTCCTTGTGAAAATCGACATCTGCTGTGTTCCACTTTTCATATCGAGATTCGTCCTCGCTATCAAGTGTCGAGGCAGGTGCCTTTTGTGTTCCCTTTTTACGAGCCCCCTTCTTCTTTCCCATAACGATTCTCTACACACATGGGTTTGTATTATAATTTTCCATGTGACTTGACGCATGCGCAGAAAAGGCGAGCATGGGGTCACGTGCTATTAATCATTGTTATTAAAAATAATTTTTTGCTCTCTGAAAATTATGTTCAATTAGAATCAAGAGAACAAGTAACTGAATAGTACCATGAAGTTATCGTAACCCACTGGAGAGCCTCCTTCCAACTCCTGTCTTTGGATGCTTGATAAATGCCCAGTCAACTTTTAACATCTGACCTAAAAACTCAGCACCATTCAAAGCATTAATAGCCTGCTGAGCCTCTCTATAGGTTTCATATTCCACAAGAGTGTATCCCTTTAAAAAACCAGTCCTGCGATCCAAATTTACATGCATGTTTTTGACTTCTCCATATTCTGCAAATTTGTCCATTAACTCATCTTCTTGAGCCTCCTCATTTACACCAGTGACAAAAAGTATCCAACCTTCAATTGACCTAGAGAGAGAGAGAGAGAGATGATAGCATTAGAGAAGAAAATACCATATATATGGCCAGTTTATTTAGAACAAATTTTTCAGGTTTTTAATACTGTACAAGATGACTCAATAGTGGAAATTTGTGAAAATTTGTGAACTTCCAGATAGAGGGCATTTGTAAAAATTATTACCATATACTGGGATACTTTCGCATTGTTAAATTTTCACAAATCTTGCATTTGTAAGATTTCACAAAATAAAATTCTCACAAATAGCTTGCAAACTCTACCACATGGCAATAAAAATGCAGAATTTCACAATTTTAATTTTTTTGACGAAGCAAAAACGCAAAATCCGTAAAAATTAGGCTACTTGAAAATTTCCCAGTATACAGTATCCTCAAAAACCATATTGCAAAGGTGATGAATTTATTTGGCAAATTTGGCATTTAGATAGTGGCCAATCATCACAAAAATAATTAGCAAATCAGTTTGTCAAAATTTTACCCCCCCCAGCTACATGTGTATAGGGTATTGGTAATCAATAGGTAACTAATAATTATCTATATAACACCACAAGACAAAGGAAGAGGCAAAATATCTGTCCTGATGGTCTAATCAATCAGAACAATTGTAATTAAAAATTAGTAATCAACCTCATGGGCCCTGGTCCTTCACTGGAGTCGATGGATTCGTACTGGAGCTTCTCATAATCTCTGTCTTTATCTCCGAATCCTCTCCCTTTCCTCACTTTAGCAGAAGACTTGACCTTTTCAACGGAACCGTCTTCCATAGCATAGTCCTCCCCAATTCCCGCCATTTTGTTTTCATAAAACGTGTATTGCGGGGGCGTGCCCACAGATAATTATCTTTGGTAGTAAAATTATTTTAATTATAAAAAATTTTGATACCAGATAAATCCTATGCTTCTTAAAAATTGGTTCATAGTTCCTAGAGTTAGTTTGCTGTATGTGTTTATTATCTTATGCGTAAGAGGACTTTGCGCTGGAACCGATGCTGCAGCTCCCCTCTCTTGATCAGTGTCTGTAGTACTGTCTTTATTGCTTTCTCTGAGTAGTTCTGTTTGACAAAATCCTGCAAGATACGTTGCTCAGATACATAAGAACCAATCGGAAACCGAGTCTTTAACTGACGCTCAATCTTACGAACTTCCTCTTGATCGAAAGCACTAGTGAATCCTTCAGCTCCTGCAAAAAGTATAAATTAAATATCTCAAATAATAAATAGCTATTCTCAGACACATACCAGACAGAGATCCAGACATGGCAGCATCTAGTGTAGATACTTTAAACAACCTCAGTGCCTCATCAATGTGACTCTCAAGTGCAAATGGAGCAAGAGACATTTTAGCTAAAGACTCTGCAATACGAACAATGGCCTCCAATTGCCTGCACAGTGATGCAACGGTTAAATGATAGGTAATGGTGGTAATACCTGACTGTTATAGGAATTGAGCTCTTCTTTGATATTTCTCTTTCATGTTGTCTTGCTTCTGATCTCATCATTACATATTGATTCTTTAATTTATCAGCAGCAGCTTCACTCAATCGAGGACCACACTGACTACATATAAAAATAAAGACAAAATTGTAATATCAGTAAATTGAACCTTACATGTACAATTAACATTCATACATGTAACATTTATGCATGACGCTACTGTGTTCATTTTAACTTGATCAAAAGCTTTCTTTATGCAATAGACATACACTTATTCTAAGCATGAGTAATAAACTTACACTTTGCAAAATGCAATGAATTTCTTAAGGAAAGATAAGCTCAACTCTCCTTCAGTCTCTTCCTCTGTCACTGCATTCAAATGAACCTTCATAACATGTTTCGCTAACCGCTACAAATAAAAAGAAATTTAATCATTATCCGTGATGTAAAATTTGTGCATACATTGTAGTTCATTAATATTACAGTAAAATGAAATAGAATAAACTCACAGTGTCCTTGGTGAAATCATGCTCATCTTTTATGATAAAGATCATATCAAAACGTGAAAGAATTGTAGGCATAAAATCAATGTTCTAACCACAAAAAAGAAAATTATAGTAATCACACTGCCATTTTAGCAAAAAAATATGTCTGGTGTCTGCATGTGGAAGCAACATGTACATGTACATGTACATGCATGAGGTTCTACATGTGTGAGCTGCAAAAGGAATCCAATATCAATATCATCACATAAAAATAGACAGGGATTCTCACAAAACATGCTAAGTGAGCTAAAAGTACTACCATACAGTACATGGCATATTTGGAGCAACTTCAAAAACTCATAAATAATCCAATTTTGATCAAAATCAGCTCAATATTTCTACACAACATAAGAACATGAATATGTGTCGAAAGAAATTATAAAAATAGAAAAGTCAATGCATCAAATACCAAAAAATATAAAAAAGGAGAATTCTCTCTGTGATTTTTGTTGAAATACCATGTGCTATAGTACAGGGTCTTTGGCTCAATTTTTATTGACAATTTATGCACCAAAAAGAAGCCACATAGTAAGCACTATGCCAAATAGGAAACACTGTCAATGCCATTAACTTACAGCCTCTCCTTTAATATCATCCCATCGACCAAACACAGAATTAGCTGCAGCTAAAACAGAACATCTTGAATTAAGAGTGGTGGTAATCCCAGCCTAAGATAATACAGTGTGTCATTACAATTATTTGCATTGAAGCAAACAAATGAACATTACATGTATTTTAAAAAACAACACACAGTATTTGTCAATCATTACTTTTGCTAAAGATATTGTTTGCTGTTCCATTGCCTCGTGGATAGCAACTCTATCATCTTCTCTCATCTAATAACAATAAGAATAATATTACCAGTAGTTTAACTAATTTTTCTTGTTCAGTAGATCAAAATGCATGTCTTAAACCTTTGTCAACTTCTTGCAGGTGGTACATGTACAATAAAGTCAATATTCAATTACTGTAGTACAAGAAATTTATGAACTAAAGAGGCCACAATTTCATAAATACATACATGTGAATGAGTTTGAGATACATGTAAAACAAAATCCCAAAAGCAACATTAAGCAGCTGCCAGACACTCACCTTATCAAATTCATCAATACAGACCACACCTCCATCAGCTAGCACCATTGCTCCACCTTCTACTATGAAGCCACGCTATAATAATAATAATAATAATAATAATAATAATAATAATAATAATAATATTTTGTTATTATTTTATTATTGTTATTTTATTTTATTTTCCTATTTTTGGTTGGTCCCCATTTTTCGTTTCTATTTTTCTTCCCTTATATGCTTTCCTATTTTGTCTCTCATTGTGTATAATAATAATAATAATAATAATAATAATAATAAAAATAATAATAATAATAATAATAATAATTGCAATATTAACTCACAGTAGATGGATCCCTCAATACTGAAGCAGTAAGTCCAGCAGCACTACTGCCCTTACCAGACGTATAAACCTGTCAAACAGGTTTAGCCAGTTAAACAATACGGCATTAAATTACTTACTCCAATTGGAGAGACTTTCTCAACAAACTTGAGGAGTTGACTCTTAGCAGTCCCAGGGTCACCTAATAACAATACATTAATGTCTCCACGTCTAGTTAGTCCATCAGGCAGCCTCTTCCTTGATCCTCCAAACAATAGGCAAGACAACGCTTTCTTGATGTCTAATTATAACAAATTAAACACTTTCATTATTTTATCAAGATATAAATGTAGATGGAAATTAGGATAAATTAGCATTCATAGTATGCAGTATGTCAGTAAATCTTTAATAGAAAAACAAAAACACAGACTACAGCTAAACCCTGGCAACACAATGTATGTACATGACCATGTACGTATATACAGTACATTGAGTATCACATGTGTGGTACTACATTTGTATATACTATATACATTGTCTATATACATTTAGATAGTGTCAAATAATTATTTAAACCAGGTCGTATCATGGACAAAATACAAATGCACATACATGTACATGTCTCTGCATAATTCATAATTCTTTTACACAACTGAAGATTTTGTGATTGAAATTGGGCAAATGCTCAAAACTAATATCTAAAAATTGTCTGTGATCTGAAAATTTGGAACTAATGACTTACATGTAGAATAACAAAAGTGCATCAAGAATGGAATGCTTTGTAGTGTACATGTACATGTGGGTACATGTACTTGCAGTACAAAATACATACATGTGCCATATAGCTGGTAAATATACATTTTAGAATGAAGAATGAAGGAAATTAGGAGCTTTGACAGCAATTTTATTGAGCCTTTATGTGCATACTCAATAACACATGGTCACAAATTTGCCAATTAAAACCCTCCAATCATCAAAATTTAGCAATTCACCAAAATTTCCCCCTCAAAACTACCAGCTATACAGTATACTATTAATCTCTAACTAGATATGTAATTTTAAATGGTACAATAAAAGACAAAAAATTTTGAAAGGAGTTGTCAATACCTAGTCCTCCATAGATTGAAGGTGCTATTGACTTTGCTATGATATCATAGACATCAGGGCGTCCTGCTAATTGCCTCATCTCTTCTTGTTCCTCGGGTCGTAATGTTTCTAGGCTGCTCCTACCAAGACCATCAGAGTCAATCTCAATACCAACTACACGAAGATATGGCTTCCTTATACCAACAGTAGCTTTATTGTCACGTGTCTGACGTGTACTCTAACAACAACAATAAAAATAACAATAACACAACAACAACAACAACAATAATAATAATAACAATAATTTTACGTGTACATCAATCATTTCTAATTATAATTTTTTTGCAGCATAATAATAATAATAATAATAATAATAATAATAATAATAATAATAATAATAATAATAATATAAAGTAACTAAAAGCTACAGATGAAGACAAAACTTATTGGGATTTGAGACATGCACGCACACAGTAGATATATGTATATCTCATTACAGTTTAATCCTTTATATTATATGGTACATGTATTATTATTTGGTTGAAATTGCTAAAAAATGTTATTACGTTCTTGGGTAGACAAACCAAATAGATATACATGTACATGTACTGTACATTATATGTACCTTATTAGAAACACCTTTCCTTATGGAATAGATCCCAACAACTGTAACTCTATTACCAGGAACAACAAATTCAGTCAAATATCTATCACAATACAACTGGAGGTGACGTGGCAACTCGCCATTAGGAACAGCATCTGGAGCCTCTTGCAATTTAAGAGTCTAAATAATAATAATAAATAAAATAATAATAATAACAATAATAATAATAACGTACATGTACATATTATTGTTCCTTTCGTTCTCCCTACATGTACATGTATCTTACATGTAAATTCTTATTCCTCATCCACTTCTAATGAAATATATATTACATGCAACATACAAATTAATATTTTTGTACAATGCTCTTATAAAAGAAAAACTTTAACGGCACAAAATTTGTGTTTCTAAAGGAAATATTATGTTTGTAAAAACTTTTAAGTACATGCAACTTAAAGTGCTTAACTGTGTCTATGATTCTAATGTGATCTAAAAGAAGAGATAGTTTACTAAGATGTAATACAGTGCACATCAGAGCATCAGTTTGATAACCATGATTAATTTAATGAATTTCATGCATTAGTACATGTAAAAAGGTATTTTATACATGCATGTATATTTGGCAGTTGTATGGCTAGGAGAAAATTCTGATTACTGACCTGAAAATCAACACACTTGCATTTGTCTGGTACAATAAAATAAGGATCAACTGAACATTTCACTTGACCAGTTTGCTCCCTAAAATAATTGAAATTAATAAAACAATTAATGCACTAATTGATTATTATTAGAAAGAGCTCATTAACAATGAATGAAATTTATATTAGCAAAATTTTTATCAGCCAAAAACAAAATCCCAATTACATGTAGTAATTCCTGCACTCTTATGACACAACATTATAACCTGAAAACTTTGAGGAAATAAAACTAGGCAAATGAGGCCACGACAAATAATATAAATACACTGTATGTCAGGGTTTCCCACAGGATTTTGGCATACTGGTAGTGCTCATATCATTGTAGCATTTTAATTCTAATTACCTGAATCAAGCCAAAATTTGGTCCGAGACCATGCATTATAGTACAGGAACTTTGGCCCAATTTTTGAGCAACTTTTAAAATTTGTAAAAAATCAATTCAGAATGGAACCAGCTCAAATTTTCACCCCAACATACATATAAGTACATGTGGACAGATATTATTAAATTATTATACCAATTATTAATTGTATCATTAGTACACCTAATTCTTCTACTTACGTTGAACATTTTCTTGGTAGTACGTATCCTTCCAATCCAGGACGTATGGGTATGTTGGACTGAAAGTTCTTACAATTACGACATTGAATAGTAATATGAGTTGCTTTAGCTCTTATAGCAGAAGCATTAATAACAATACCAGGGACTTTAACTAGATGAGCCATGTGATCAGACTATAGGTAGAAGATATGAGGAGAATTTAAAAAGGAATTTGAAATGCAGTGGTATGTACATGTACGTGTTAACTGATTACTAATAACAAACCTTCAATTGCCTTATCTGAACTGGATTGGTAGTTGATTTTAACATTATTTGGATTTCTTGCACTTTTTCCTCTCCAATAGGGCGGGGCTGAGTCAACTCATCGGCTGCTTCCTTTGCTGCATCTTCAAACTTAAAATAAAAATTTTTTAAATAATAAAATTTATGAGACAAGAAACTCACCAGAGGCAGGAAGTCAGATGGTACATTTGTCAGTTTTGTCGCTAACTGAGAATCAAAAGATGCCAAATCCTGAAGATCAACTTCGAGCCAGTATCTCTTTGTGTTGTAATGATGCTTCAACTGATCCCTAACAAACCAAGGAAGGTAATAGAGTTGTTCGATACAAGATAATTTTTCGAATGGGCATCAACTGAATTAAGAGATTAGTCTAAATTTAAAATGGCTGTCTGTAACAATTTCCTTGAAAAGTCAAGGAATCAGGTTTATTCTGAGAGATGGAAGGAATGTTAGCATCAAAGGCTCTGATAAAAAGGACACTAAAATGTACTTTTGAGTAATCAATGTTTAAAAATGAAAAAGTACTCTTTTTCAAACATGAGAAAGACTGCAGAATTGCTTGAAACTTTGCAAAAATGAAAGCTAAAATGCTTTCATGTAAAATTAACAACTTCAACCCAATTTCTCGAAGTTATACTGCCCACTTTACCAGAGCCTTTCTACTGTACAGTGTATATCAGGAATTTTTGCTGCCCTAAATTTTCGCAAATTTTAATTTCTCGCAAAATTTAATTCACCTACAGAGGGATGCCATGTAAGCTTTATACAATAGCAAAAATTTATTCTTGTAAGAATTTTCTTGTCAAAAATTTTCAGTATACAACTTTCATACATTGCATCAATAAATTCAAATTAGCACAAAATTAACGGTACACACTTATTTTTGTTTAGGCCAAGTAGTTTGTATCATAAATAAGAGAGTACTTTTCATTTACCCTATTATCTATGTTTGCACACTCTTCCAAGGGCTTAATTAATACAGGTGGAAATCGCACCTACTCTAAGTTCCCTCCCCCAAAATAGTCTGGGTAAATTTAATAAGGGTTAATACACAATGTTTGTTGTCTGTTTATTACACAAATGCAGTTAGATCTAACTAACAATCATGTGTACAATAGCTTATGCCTGCACCAGCAAAAATAGTGATTGCTAAAATAAAAATCCCCCAAATACCTAAAGCACTGCCTAAAATCTTCCATCATTTTACCTGTAACAAAAACAGTTTTGATGATCCATAAATGTTTTAATAAACTCCTTGAATTTCTTTTGAAAGCCAGATCTAGTCTGCTGGCCATCACTTCTGTCATCAGAGAAGAAAGAGTCACTGAAATACACACCCGGATCATCAAAACCAGCCATTTTGAAGTCGTCTCGTGCTCGCGCCCCCTATTTTGTGTATCACGTGACTGAGAGCTGTGCCTGTGGCGTGGAATGTGGATCATGAGCTATGATCACGTTGCATGATTTTAGAGAATTTTTTATGACATCACAAATTCAATGCAACTATTAATCAGTGTTTTGAAAATCAAATATTAGTGGTTCTCTTCTCATTATCACTCTTGCTGGTGAAAATAGATCATCTGTGTTCTCATCATCGTCCTTCAGTAATCGGTTTTCTTTTGCTCCCTTAAATTTTCCAATGCTGATACAGAATTTAAGATTATGCCTATTTTTAATTTGAGTGGTAAAATGAAATAATATTGTGATGACAAAAGCAGCTAGTGAAAAACTAATAGATGCTGCTGTAATGATTTCACCAGTACTAGTATCATGTAGACTCATAACTTCTAGTAAAATATTCAACTGGGCCACTAAACCTAAATTGATGAGATAGAAACCTTCCAGTACACATAGCAACCTGTTTCTATAAACACCTTTGGACAGGTACAACAGCACGGCTGCCATCACTGCAATGATATAGTTATTGATTTTTGGTATAGTTCCAGTAGTGTATGAGAATATGGTAGTGAGCAGTAGACGCATTATTAAAAGGAGTCCTGTCCAGTATCTGTACTTGTCCTTATATGGGCCAGTATAAGCATCAATGAAGGGCTTCAGCTTAATTATAGGATCAAGGGAACTCTTAAAACATTTACCACTGTAGTGTTGTAGCCATTGAGCAAGCAACACTAGTACTGTATAAATCAGGCCAGCTATTAAAAACAGTATTCCTACTAGAAATATTGGTATGTGCTTCCTGTTAAGATAACGAATGTTTCCATCAATACTCCATACAAGCCAGTGTGCTTGTTTGCAGCTGACAACAGCTAGCATTAGAATATTAGTGACGAGACGCAGAAGTTTGGTATAGGACATGAAGACAAGTGTAGCTAAGACAGGGACGGAGTTATTGCCACAGAGTCTTGTGACATTACTAGAATAATGAGACAGCATTATAATGATAATGATTAGTAACCATACATATAATGGGAATGCAAATTGTAGCCATGTCTTCCAATATCCATCCAGTCCGTTAAAGAAGCAGGTTTGAATGCCAAGATCAAGATTGAGCCATGCAATGAACTGACTCAATACCGGTATATTTATCCCATTAGGGAACAATGCAGCTTCATTTAACTTGATGACATTAGCATAGAATAGTAACCCATTGATGCTTCCAACAGACACAGTCATATTAGAAACCAACAAAAAGACCACTAACAATATACCAGCTAGGATGAAAGCAACTATTAGTAATAGATAATTGTTACTACAGTGTTGACATTTGTTGGAGCCTAACATAAGACTGAGTCCTTGCTGACACTCCCCACAAAGAATACCCGATCTACCATTGGTACACTGAAGATCAGAGTCAGTGAGATTGAGTCTGACAATAGATTTATCACAATAATCAAAGGGGCAGTTAGTATGAGCTACAACACACTTGGATTCCTTACTGTAGTATAACCAGTTGGTACCAGATCTACTGATAGGATGTGGCATCATGTTGATGTCACACTCTGTACCATTAATAGCTCTAATTATACTACCACAAACACAAGCACCAGAAACAGCATGAAGATCAAGACCAATGGGACACTGCAAAAAGGTCACATTGATTGTAAAATGTGCATTCAATATTTTCATATTAGTTGCAGTCTTCTTAAGTCCAATTTTTATTTGTCCTGCTTCTTTACTCTTATTCATTTGATTGATTGTGTATGTAAAGTTCTTGCATTTTCGCTCAGTTTCATGATTATTATCAGGATTCACAATTCCCACACCACTGGAATTACTGGTTACCAATACAGAGGGAGCTATTCCACCACAAGCTCCAACAGTTGCTAGTGAGAGACTAATAGACTGACCAGGATATATCTTATGAGCAATTGATCTAGTGTTGCAGTTTACACTTGAGGACCTATCATCAGATATGCATACGCCAAATGCACCAGAAGTAATAAAGTCACCATAAGGCCTTGGAAAGTTATATAAATTATTGCAATTGACTCTGTCAATAAGTTTATTAGCAAATGGTACAGGGACAAGAGTTGGTGCTACCTGTCCTTCTTCCTTGTACTTCATATAACAGCCCCAATAGAGTCCATTGTATACATTGTCTCCACTTACTGAAGCAGAATTATTTTTAAAAACAGGAGTAAACTTTTGAAATGTACATCTCTGCATGTTATTTGATTTGGTATATGTTGGGCTAACTACGTATATTGCTCCACCAGCACCATCTGCAGTGTTATTAATAAAATAAGTGATGGATCTGGAATCACCAATAATTATTGTACTTTCACTAATCCACATGCCCCCTCCATTGCTTGGTGATCTGTTATTGGATACTAATGATGAACTATTCAGGAAAAAAATACTGCAGGAACCTTCTGTGGATATTCCTCCTTGCATGTTACTTGTTATAGTTGCATTATTGATGTCAAATTTGCTTGACATGCAGTTTGCGTAAATGCCATTTTTTGAATTATTGCTAATAGTCATGTCTTTGAGAGTAAGATAGCTACGATTTAATGTTAGAGACAAACCAATATGTCCATTATTCAAAGTGATTCTGTTCATAATGATGGAGCTATTTCTGAGAGATACCAACTGTATATTTTTTAATATGTTATCTGTTGCTGCAACACTGCTCAAATATAATTGACTATTTCGATAGCATTCAATTAAAATTCCATTTAAGTGATTGTCATGTACACGCAATTTTGCTAATGATGCTACACTAGATGGATAACCAATTACTATTATTCCATGTCCACTGCTATTAGAAACAGAGACATTATTTACATTAACAATAGCATTCTTATGGCATTCTATATATATCCCATTTCCATGTTTATGTGATACAACAACATTATGCATCTGAAGATTTCCTTGATGCTGAGATCTAGCCCTGAAACAGATTAGTGTTGTACTCCCACTTACTGAACATTTAAAGTATGCTACATTAAAAGGAGCGAAAAAGTCTACCAAAATGTTTGTAATAATTATTTGTTGTGTCAGTTTCTTCAAAATAAAGAAACAAAGACTTGAAAATAAGATTTGAAATGCTTACCGAGGTACACAATCTCACTGCAACTGTATGAGAGGTGCTAATAATAATTGGTATATCATCTCTGGAGTATGCTTCTCCTTTTAAGGTTATACTATTAAGTCCCTCAATTATGAAGTTACCAGCCATTTCATGTTGTCCAGGTAGGAAGATGAGTGTAGTATTTGATGGCCAGTTAGTCTTTGTAATGTAGTAAGAAAGCATGTGACTCTCTCCAGTGAAATTATGATGGTGCCCATTCGTAACCACATAAAACACACTATCTTTGGATGAAGCAAATTTGGAAAGCAAGAACACTGCATGTATAAGCATCTAAATAAGTACAATGTATGTGTCTATAGCCATTTTAATAGTAATAAAACTTACAATTGCAAAGGTATTCATGATGCTAGCTGGAATAGAAAAAATCAAGCAGAATAGGAATATCTACAAGTTAAAGGTTTTATGAAAGTATTTGTAAGCTCGGAACATTAAAAATGCATAATAGGTAAGGTTTCATCATGGTTTCATTAACTTGCCAGAAACCTTGAAAAACACCAATATGTCATTAGAGCTCTCTTTGAGGATTAGACACCAAAGCTATAGTCTATCCACTGTGGAGTTAGAAAGAGTAGTAACATGCATTAAACTGTGCGGGCACTTGTTACTATTGACATTTACTATTGTGGTTGATTTACAGTCAGCACTTTTCATAAAAGCCAAAATGGTGTAGGTGATTTATTTAGTTGATGTAAAAAAGTAACAAGAAACATGACAGAAGAAGACCCAGGGTGATACTCAAAAAGGCAGAAATTATTGCATGTGCAAAACATTATGAATGGGGACATGTTGCAGTCCTGCACGATAAAAGATGCATAATATTGTGAGCAATGTCTTTATTCTCACAATTCATTATGACTAAGTCAAGTTCAGCCAGCAGAGCTTACAGCCACAGCAAAGCATGACATAAAAAAGTCTTTTTATAACAATAATAATAAATTAATGGTACGCATAGATGCACTAATATTAAGGACTGCACCCTTACATGTACATGTATGTACATTTCTAAAAACAGGAATAAATTGTAACAGTATAAACTTCCCTTGCAGTGCAGCAAGGCTAAGAACACATAAAACAAATAACATACATTGTATATCAAATAGTTAATCCTCAAATTTTATAATATTAAATTTAAAAAATAAGTCCATAAAAATTTGTTTTTGTCAATGAACTTACATGTATAATATATTAATATTATTCATTACAAGGATTAAAATGAATGAAACACATGTACATACAAAATGATAGTGAGTAAATCAATACTAATCAGTTCTAAATGATACACACTCTTCAACAATTTGTCGTAAGTCAGGGTTTTCCATCGCAGCTGCTACGCGTTCTTTATCATTTATTTGTTTGTTTACTGAAAGAAAAGATGAAATGAAATACAAAAATTAAAAAATAACCAATCACATAACAAGCTCAAAGCAAAAAGACAATGATAAAAAACAGTTACAAGTACACATACATTTGTATCACAATAAAAATTGAGAAGCCTTTTATAGCCAAAATGGTAATAAATGTACACATTTTTTAACAATTTTAATTCTTTTTAAGGACTGTTGTTTATTATGTCAATACATGACTAGTAAATATACATGCATTAATTTAAACACTGTGACAAAGTAATATGATGGGCCTGGA